CCCCCAAGGGGGCATATGGAAAAGTCCCCCAAGGGGGCATATGGAAAGACATTTTCTGGCAGGGATACAATGGAACAGGTTTAAAACACAAAAGGATGGTAACAGAATCCTGTTCATTGTACTTGGTCACCATCAGGCCAAGTGCCAGCCGTGAGTGGAGTCTCAGTACTTCGCTGGCTCAACCTTACAGCCTATGGTGAGAAGGAACGGACAGATCTTTTCTCCTGAGAACACTGGCCCAACACCCATGTCTCTGTAAGCCCAGGACTCTTCCTCTGGACAGCCCTTGAGGAGTGCCCAAGCTAAGGGTACCAAAAAGCACCTAGACATGGAGTAAAAATGAGAGGCAGAAATCAAGATCTAGGTGCTGGCCTCTCCTCCCAGCCTGTCCCTGTGCCACCCTCTGGCTGCTGCCCCATCCAGGAGCCACTGAGCTGAGAGGTCCTGGGGGGTCCAGGATAGCTCTAGCCCCAGCTGTGGTGCTCTGGGCAGGGTTATGAGAGCCCAGACCCTGTGACTTTTAGAGGCCTCCAGGAAGGGGCCCAGCTAAGACAGAAAGAACTCAGGCTAAGTCAGAACAAAGCCAGGAGCCAAGCAGTGATGGGGGGATCAGGGCAGCCAGGCAGAACTGGCCAGGCCTTAGGCGGGTACGCTCTGCTCAGGGCTTTGCTATCTCCACTGTGTGGCTGGAACAGATTAAAACCCAAAAACCTGCAAGTTCTTCTGGCTATCTCACCTAAAGTGTATATTGCTTTGCCCATTATGCTATGCTTATTATAATGACTGTCCCGTTTCTGTGTTTGGGGATGACGGTGGGCACTGTCCACCTCTCTGCTGTCCAGACTGGCCTCAGCCTTCTGAGTAACACAATGGCCAGCTTCCCAATTCAATGTGAGCAAACTTACATACTGCCCATGGCTCCCTGCTGCCTTCAACCCAGCACTTGATGCCCACGTGCCTCTGCTGTGGCTGGGTGGGCTCACCTGACAACACAGCCCACTAAGCATCATGGAGGAGGGGCGTTCCTCCTCTGCCTGTCCTACCCCAAGGGCTTTCAAGCTACTTCCTGAAGCCCTCCTACCCCCAGATAGCTACTGGTCCACTTAGGTTCAGAGAGGGGGACCAACCATGCCAGGTCCCATAGCATAGGTCCTGAGGAGCCCAGAGAGCAGGTGCGACCCTGAGCCTGCCCCAGTCCTCTTCACTGTCCCCAAAGACCCAGCAACTCATTCCAGACGCAAGAATGAGGCCAAAGTCTGGTGGCCCAGTTACAGCTGGAGGAGGGGAGCAAGGCAGGTCCCCATCAAGTCCAAACTCTAACATGGTGGCAGCCCCCACCTGACCTGTCACTAGCATCTACCTCTGGGAGAGAGCTCAACTCCACACCCAGCCCCCACAGCTCCACCTATTCCACTGGGCCAGGACCCTTCCCATGACCCTACAACTTCTCTGGGGCTCTGGGTACCTGGGAAACGGGGCTGCCTGTCCTGTTTTTTTTTTTTGAGGCCCTGCATGCTCCTGGGGGATGCAAAGTCTTCACTGGTAGATAGAAAGCCCTCTACAACCCCTGGCCTGGACAGCCAACCTCTTTTTTCAAGGGGCTTTCTGTCCCACGGGAGACAGCCAATAAGCAAGACCACACCCTGCACAACCCTGCAGAGGGATACCCACCAGACGGCATCTCCCACGGGTCCTTCACTCCTAGAGTGGCCCAGAAGTTTAAGAACTCGTCCCGGAACCCCAAGGCTGAACCAAGCAGGGAGTGGGGGGTGCGGTCAATTCCGGTGGCCTTGCTGGCCCTCCGGCGGCGGCTTCCGGTGACCCAGAGCCTAAGGGGTACCCCTCTAATGGACAAGCATAGCCTCTCCTGCATGCACCCCCCTGCTTCCGGCGAAAGCAGCCACCCCGAGCCACCCACCCGGGAGTTCCTCCAGCTGCCCGTGCCAGGGCGACTTTGGAAGTGATATTTGACCCAAGGGCGCGCCGGATCGATCCGCGCGGCCGCAGACAATGGCCCCTGGACGCCGCCAGCCCCGCGGTGCGACTTGCACGTCTGATTCCTGAGAGGCACCACGCATGACGGGCTTCCACGATAGGGGGCACTGGGGGCTGGAAAGAGGGTCCCCACTCCTGACAGCACCCCGGAGCCCTCCCCGCCTGGCAGAACCAGCTCTCTCCAGAGCAGGAGGACAAGAGCAAAGACCACCTGCGAGGGGGGGCCACCTGCACGCATATATCACCAACTGTATATCGGATCTCGACTGGGGCCAAGCCCGTGGTCTGGGGAGGGAATGCGGGTGCGGGGAAGGTCAGCGCCAGGCCCAAGGTGACCGAGCAGGTCCGGGCTGGCCCGGTGGCCGCGCGTGGGGCTCACCGGCAGGTGTAGCTGAGATTGCGGCGGATGCTGCGCTTGAAGAAACTCTTGCAGCCCTCGCAGGTGAACACGCCGTAGTGCTTGCCGCTGGACTTGTCCCCGCACACCACGCAGTCCACCTGCAGCCCCGGACGCTCCTCGTCTCCCGGCTCCGCGTCGCTGGTCGCTCCGGGAGGCGACGCCGAGTCGTCCTCGGTCGCGCGTGGGTAGCTCCCACCAGCCTTGTCCACGCCGTTCGTGTCGCCTCCGGGGCCGCCCCAGCCACCGGTCACCATGGCCATAGCCCCGGGGACAGCAGGGCCGGGGCGCCCCGGGACGAGTCCGTCCCCTCTGGGCACGCCTGGCGACCCGAGGGGAACCCGGCTACCCCGGGCGCATGTAGCCCGCGCGCTCGGGGGGCTCCGGTCGCACCCCCCCCCCCCGCAAAAAGTTTTGCGGCAACTTCCTGCGGCCGGTCCGCGCGCCAGGCAGGAACTGGTCGGGCCGGTTCCAGGCCAACTTTCCCACGCGTGCCCGCGGCCGACGGGGGCGCGCTAGAGGCGTGAGTCTGGGGCGCCCAGGTCCCGTGGTCCGGAGTCCTGGGGACCCAGTGGCGATGCGGGGGCCATGGCCGGGCCCCGCTGCCCAGGCCAACTTAGTGGCTCACCATTCGAGCGCGCGCGGGCGCCCCCGAACCCGGAGGGAAACTTTGGCCGCAAGTTGCGCGACGAGGGGGGAGGGGCGGCGGGAGCGCGCGCCGGAGTCCCGCACGCCGCGCGCGCCCGGCCGCAATCGCAGAGGTCCGGACGATAGAGCTGAGTGGAGAGTGCGGCCCGCGGCCTTCCCCGGATCTTCTCCCGGACGAGCGCGCGCGCGCGGCCGGCCTGGGCCTGCGCCTAGGCCCGAGCCTCGGCCTCACCCTGGCGCTCGCCGCCGGC